CACACCCACACCCACACCCATACCCACACCCACACCCACGCCCACGCCCACACCCACACCCACACCCACACCCACACCCACACCCACACCCACACCCACACCCACACCCACATCCACACCCACACCACACACCCTGCTATGCGAGTATTCAACTTTACTGCTCATAACGTGCCGCAGACGATTAGATTTCGTTCTTTTGAGTAAGATCACTACTAATTGCTTTTCTTGAATAACAATAAAAACAAGAAACCTTAATCCGTACAAAAAGTTTCTATAAAACTTTGAAGTTTAGCTTCCGCTATATCAGCTTCTTCTTCTACGGTACTATGATGTTTGAGATACACGTGGTCGAATTGACGTTGTTCATATTCTTCAACGTTTGTAACAGAAAAGATCGTTCCAGGAAGAACGAGAACTTCTCGTTCCTCTTCCCACTCGCTGATCGATTGAAAATTAGGTTGACGTGCGAACAGGGTAATCGCTGTTGAACATGGTTGCTCAAAATCAAATATCATCAATACTTTGACTTTTTCATCTTCTACATTTCCCGAATCAGCAAATACTTCTGCAACTAGTCGATCGACGGATGTTGAACAAAATGTATTCGTTTTGACGTAACTTTCTTTGTGATTAAATGCATATTTATATTCATCTAAATCCTTTCTTGTCATGGTTAATCCACGATAAGAACGACCTCGATACGAACGATTTTTCACTGTGAGTAAAGAAAAATGGATAGGTGCATAGAAACACTCTGTATAATGTAAATTGTTTCCCAGATTTTGAGAAAACAACTTATCTAATGTGTATAGCTTCAAAAGATATTCAATTTCTCTTGTCCTGATAAAGGCTTGCAGCAGTTCGCACGCATGAAAATATTGCGAATGTGGAAATGTAAAAGTTCGATCAATTATCGATTGAATATTCTTTGTCCATTCTTCGAATTTTTTTCTATCAGGATCAATTCCAAAAAGGAAAGAATTGACCGCATTAAAAACAGCAGTATAAAAATCACAATCTTTGGTCCATATTTCAGGAAGAAGTTCCATAGAAATAGGACGCGTACTAGAATAGTGATGAAGCCAATGAGATTTTTGGCGATGTTGGTCGTTGATCACCTCAAATGGATTCGAAATGCTTTCATTACTTGCAAATCGATAATGATCCCTTTCAAGTAAATGAAAAAGTTGACGAATTTCGTCGTTAGATGCTTCTTGATAAGCGGTTAAACCACTGTTATTCACTGCATATGGATAAACATGGTATTCATATAAAAGAAGTTGGACAATATTCACATGACCTTGGCTTGAGGCAATATGTAAAGCAGTATTTCCATTGATTTCTACTTTATTTAGATCGGATTTCGATGGAGATGTTTTAATTAATGCTTGAACTAAATCTGCATCACCATTTTCACATGCCAGATAGATTTCACTGAGCATTGTTGTCCTGATTAATCTAAAAGCAAATGATTCACATTTTATTTCCAGACAAGAAGTATTAAAATAATGGTAAAGTGAAGCTGATTCGAAATTTAATGTGGGAAAAAATGCTTCCAACCTATTACTCATTTCTGCTGACGAGAAACACAGGACGCAAAATCACGTTGTTGCATAAATGTGACCTATTCTACTCTTTCTTCTTTAAAAATACCGTGTTAAATATTTTTTTCTTTTTATATTCAATGAAGACTACCACGGTGAAGTGAAGCAAATATCGACATCGAAGAATGATATTTTCTTAACAAAAAAGGTTGTTCAATGATTGTACAAAAGAAAATACAACAACGCGAGGTGAGAGTGACAATGTGCTGGTTACCCTAGAAACCTCACACCCTCACACAGACTGATTCGAGTGGAAGAGGTCGCGCATGAACTTCCCAATAATTGAAAATAAAATTGGTCTCAATGTTAGTGGCCTCGGACAAATCCTACCTTCACTTTTCGATCGTCTGGCTTCATGAATATTATATAGGCTAGTAGACAAATCTTTGAGACATTAGCTACTCGTGGTTGCTTCCTCATACGATCATGCTTCATCTAAGTACTCTTAACACACTCCAGTCATTGACTATGTTCGATCAAACAGTCTCGTTCATGGATACAAGCGTTCATTTCTCCAGCCCAGCCATCACCAAAAACTTGTTTTAATTGGTTCGTCTTTTCTAGCCTTGACTGATATTTGATATCGATTGTTTTGATCATTGGGAGTAATCCAAATCATTAGGACTTTTTTTCATAGCTGATAGACGTTTGGTTCTTCTTATCTGTTCTCAAACTTCCATCTAGAATCCGCGTTTTTGCTCAGGATATATAATAAATCATATGCGTCACAGCACATCTGTCCTGATCTGTATTTCAGTGTGTGCGCGATTGTAGAGATTTTCCCATCTCGCATTCTGACCCACTAGTCACACCATGGGTATAAAATGGGTAAACACATCGACTTCACTATTTTTTCAACGTGTACAAGCGTTCACCTTCGCGTAGATTTTCCCCCGAGAGCTATTAAATTAAACGATCGATAGGAATAAAAGCAGTATTATCTATATGTGTTTTGAATCATAATCTCTCAACTTCATCAAATAAAATGAAGCCTGTATTAGTGTATATCGCTCTGCTGTTCATTTGTCTGGTGGTTCGTGCCGTTCCTGATGACTTCGATCATGACAACGTTGATAATTACCAACAAAGACGCGAGATTCTTTGCGTCATTCTCGTCAAGTTGATGCACAAACGTATAGATTGTTCTGTTTCATCGAGATCAGATTCAATATTTGAATTTCACTCCATCTGATGATCCAGTGGGCCGGATGTATCTGAATAGAATCTTAATTGATAGTGCTCGTTTTTCGTGAGGATAACTTCGCTGTAGTTCTCTCAGTTACATCGTATGGACAAATAGATGCGTGAATTTCATTTAAGGAGACGACTTGCAGGAAAAGACCTATGGTCAGATAATTTCGTGTCTTTTACTTCAGGACAAAATCAAGGTGAATGCCCACTTGGTATGTGTCGTTCGAAATGGGGCAATTGTGGTACAAGTCCTGCATACTGTGGAAATACGCAACCAACGCCCAACAATAAAAATCCTCCAAGTGCTTCACGTAAGTCGGATAGATAGTACAAAACGAGTCGGTTTTCCCAGCATGAGCAGCTACTGTTTCCTAAAAGCATATCAGTGTATGATTTGGGATAGCCTGTTGTTCTGAAAAGCTGACGATTTTTTCCTTGTTTAGCTGGAACTTTCAAAGGAGAAACCACGCACTATAGTGTTAATGCTGGTTATACTGCATGTGGAACAAAGCATAGCGAGAGTGAATATGTTGCGGCATTAAATTCAGCTCAATTTAATCCGTATACGCAGAATGCGAACGTCAAGGAAAATACTCTGTGTAATAAACAGACCAGTGTACTTGATCCAAAAGGATCTGTTACCATTAAAATTATTGATTTATATGGTGGAGGGTGTGGGTGTGGGTGTGGGTGTGGGTGTGGGTGTGTGTGGGTGTGGGTGTGGGTGATGGGGG